TGCAATCCTCCTCTTCAGCTCCCAGAATTCTAGAATGACAGGTGTGTACTAACCAATCCAGGTTATTTTGACTCGAGAGATCACATTCATATAACTTAATGACAGTAACTTCTATTTTATTACTAATCTTACTAATTTATAAATTAAACATAGGTATGTATTATAAAAATAGCACATATTATCCCTATACTAGGGTTCAGGACTACTTGAGGTTTCAAGCATTCACTAGAGTTCTTGGCACTAGAGTTCTAAGGAGAAACCCCTGTAATTCAGCTATATTGTGTACAACTCAATGATTTTTATTATATCCACACAATTATACAACCATTACCACGATCAAATCTTAACATTTTCATTACACCAAAGAGAAGCCCTGTACCCTTTAGTGATAATTCAAAATCTTGCCTTTACCTCAAGCCCTAGGCGACCACTAATTTGCACCTTTATATATTTGCCTGTAATGGACATTTCATGGAATGAAATCAAGCAATAAGTGTTGTGTTTCACTTAGCATAACATGTTCAAGGTTCATCCATGTTATTTCTTGCCAAATATTTCATTGTATTCTTGCTACATCTCATCTATCCATTCATTGGATGGACACTGGATTTACTTTTTTTGTTATTAATGAATGATGCTGCTGTGTACATTTGCACACAAATCTTTATGTGGATATAGGGACATAGGTTTCATATTTATTGAGTATATACACCTAAGGGTAGATTTGCTGAGCCCCACAATAATTCTATACTTAACCTTGTGGGGACTGTGACCATTTTCCTAAGAAGTTGCAGCATTTTATATTCTAAGCAGCAGCATGAGAACCTATGAGATCTAGTAAAATTACAGATCTGTTCATAGTGCAGGTAAGGTACAGAAACATCACTTTTATATAGCTGTATTTTTCCCCTCCCTGTACTACTATCATGCAAAGTACATCTATATATTACACATCCAACAATACTTTGTCTTAATTATCTATATAATTTTTTGTTTTTGTTTTTGAAACAGGTTCTTGCTTTGGAGTTTAGGCTGATCTCATATTCACTATGTAGTCCAGGCTGTTCTCAGACTTGTGATCCTCCTGCCTCACTCTTGTAAGTGCTGGGATTTCAGGTATGCAAAACTAAGTCTCAAAGTAAGAAAAGAAAAATAGCAAGGATATATTTATAGCACTGATTATATTTTGTTTACTAGTTCTCCTCAGACATTTCTGTGATTTCAAGTTACCATCTATGATCATTTCCTTACTGCAGGTATGGCCTCTTTCACTTCCTGTGTGATAATACCAAGTGTGTTATATATGTCACAGACCCCAAATACAATTACATAGTATTTTCTACAGTCATTCTGCAAATCAGCTAAGAACACATGAGCATTCTTCTAACTTTTTATAATTACCTTAACTATCTGGGGCTTGCACTTCCCAGAAGATACTATAACCTTCACCTAAGAACCGGGGAGGAGCAAGTCCTGTGCTTGCTTCTGAAGCAGCCACTAATCTGAGCTGAGACAGGGAGCAGAGAGGTGTTAAGTGGTTCAGACTCACTTTTATCAAGTTTTGCTACATTTCCTTAAATGTTCCAGTTGCTAAAAGCCCTTGTGATAATTTTGTGAGGTTTTAAGACTTGTAAGTTTTACCTGTTAGGCTTGTTTCACTGGGGAGCAGGTCTGCAGAGCTCCTGACACTGCAGAATCCATTCTAGAAGTCAGAATTGTGGAGTTCTTACAAAGTACTTCCGCATGTAAAATTTAAATTGATCTTCACAATTCTATGAGAGAGGAGGGACTTCTAGCCTTCAAGATGAGGATCCAAGATGTTAAATAACTTGGTTCAAGTTAAAAGCTTACCAGAGCCATGTGTTTACTCAGGAAATAGGTGCCTGCTTCTTGTTAAGCAGTAGATAAAAAATGTTGAACAAAAATTTACTATTTAGAAGACAAAAACAAAAAACCCTAGGCAATAAAAATAGGTAAAGCACTAGAATAAAGCACTGTGTTGGTTTGTTGTGGTTTTTTTTTTTTTTTTTTTTTCGAAAGGGTCTTGTGTTGTAGTGCAGGCTGCCCTTGAACTCACTGTGTAGTGCAGACTAGCCTTTAACTTGAAATCATCCTCCTGCCTGAACCTCCTGAGTGCTGGAATTATAGGCAAGTACTAACATGCTTGGCTTAGTTTTAAAAATTAACATAATTATACATATGTGTGGGGTGCAGTATAAATTGATAATGTATACAATGTATAATGATAAAAGTAGGGTAACAAACATTTGTGTTGGTTTGCTTCACATTCCTCTTCTATAGTATATACTACTCCTGAACTATAGTCACCCTATTGTCCTACAGAACATTTGAAATTATTTCTGCTAGCTAAAAAGCATATGCTGTTTTAGACAATAAGGAGGTAACTTCCTAGTTCATCCTGAGTAAGAATTAGAATCTAAGCATTTTGGTTCCTAATTTTGTTTTTCTTTGGTACCAGGGAATAAAAACTCAGGACCTTGTGCTTGCGAGGCAGGTGGTGGAACCAGAGTTAAATCCCTGGCCCCTGTATTTTTCTTATAGTTAACTCAAAATGAAGAGGCACACTGCAGAGATAAAGACTGAAACCAGATTCCTGGATAGTTGCATTTCAGTCCAATTATTAGCTGGGTAAACCAGTTTGTCTATGCTTCTGCCTAAACAGGGCACACACACACCCCTGTAACCCCAGCTACTTGGGAGGTGAAGCCAGGTAAAAAGTGAAGGGTGTAGCCCAGTGGTGGAGCACTTTTTCACATAAGGTTCTGGATTCAATCTCCACCCCCCCATAAAGATGGGGATGGAAGATGCTAGTAGGTCATGAGATTAAAAGATGACTGTGATACGTTGAACTGTGCCTGGTATAGTTTGTAAAAGTGATTGATAACTAGACTCTTAGAACAGAGTTAAATACTAAATTTCCTCAGGAGCATACTGTCAACTTCCTCTATTAACTTCTAAAAGATTAAATTGACGTCTCAGGATACAGTGCCTATTAATAAAATTGTTCCATTTACACTGAGCATTTCAGTAATTAGCTGGGTAAACCAGTTTGTCTATGCTTCTGCCTAAACAGGGCACACACACACCCCTGTAACCCCAGCTACTTGGGAGGTGAAGCCAGGTAAAAAGTGAAGGGTGTAGCCCAGTGGTGGAGCACTTTTTCACATAAGGTTCTGGATTCAATCTCCACCCCCCCATAAAGATGGGGATGGAAGATGCTAGTAGGTCATGAGATTAAAAGATGACTGTGATACGTTGAACTGTGCCTGGTATAGTTTGTAAAAGTGATTGATAACTAGACTCTTAGAACAGAGTTAAATACTAAATTTCCTCAGGAGCATACTGTCAACTTCCTCTATTAACTTCTAAAAGATTAAATTGACGTCTCAGGATACAGTGCCTATTAATAAAATTGTTCCATTTACACTGACCAGTTCGCAATTAGTTAAATGTCGATTTATGGTTAAAAACAATTCCTCTTCAAGGGCCCGGGATTTAGCTCAGTGGTGTCACTGCCTGCCTCACAAGCACAAGGTCCAGAGTTTGATCCCCAGTACTAAAATAAAACAAAACAATTCCGCTTCAGGAAATTATTGGGTACTTTATCATTCTTCTAGGTTATTATCTTGCCTGGTAACTTTAAAAAATGCTTTGTACTATTAGTATATATTGAATTTAAGGCAAGAGAAAGTACATCTCATGTTTTAACTTTGTCTTGATGGAAAAGAATCTAAATCTTCTATTAAACTAGTTTAAGGTGTTAATGGAGAATTAAGTTTTGGGCTGAGACCCAAGCATGCACAGGCGTGCATGTGCACAATACACAAAGTCAGTTAAGTTTATATTCAGTACTCAGGTTTCTTCTCCAGGGTAACTACTAAAACATTTATGATATACTTCAGAAAGCACTACTGTAACAGCCAGGGGTGGTGGCACGCACCTGTAATCCCAGCACTCAGGAGGTTGAAACAGAAGGATCATTGCAAGTTTGAGGCAGCCTCGGATACACAGTGAATTCAAGGCCAGCCTGAATTACATAGCAAGATCTTATCTCAAAACACAAAAATAAATGGTTACTACCAAGCTCAATCAGTTGAAAGTTCTAGAAAATTAAGGCTCAAGCCTTCATTCGTGCTAAAACCTAAGTGTGCTTCAAAACACAGCTCTAAGCTCAACAGGATCATAATCAGGTTCGTGCAAGTCTTCTCATTCCTACCTACCCTTACTCATCAAGCATACTATTTTCCTGGCAACTGATTCTATCTGGGTCATTGAGTGCCTTGTAAACTTATTTTCCCCCCTCAATGAAAGGGATCAACCAAACAAGGCCTTATAAAATGCGAGGCAAGCTCTGTACAAATAAGCCATCACCCCCCAGCCCCCACATTTTTTACTTATGTTTCCATATTTTAACCTCCCTTAGTACCACACTTCTGTGACAAAAACAAACCAAAACTGCAAAGTCATTTTATGGAAAACTATCTTATTAATGGATGCCTTTGATGCCAAAGAAATGATGGTAATTTTGAAACACAGAATTTTTATAAATACATGAAATTTTCATTTTATGATCATCAAACTAGTTGAAATGCATTTCTCTAGAACTGTTCTGGTAAGGCTATGAGAAGGAGTCATCCCTAACATATGACTTTTTCCACTGACATTTTAGCTAAACAAAATTACAGGTGACTAAACTTTTAGATGAATAGACTAAGAAAAATCCTCAGATGATGATTAGGGGAGTTAATCTCCATCAAGACATTTTATTGAAATATTTCTGTGATACAGCAGTCAGAATCTTCAAAAAGGACAGAAAAGAAGTACAATCAAAGCTTCTGCAGCTTAGGCATCTTAGTCCTAAACCTGAATTAAGCAAGGCAAAGCAATTTTCCTCTAAATTAAATGGGTCTCCAGTATGTCTATCCAGTTGAGCTTTCAGAAAGATGCTTAAGACTTAATACATAAGCCATTTTGGCTAAGTCTGTATTAATTATGCCTAAAGAGCTTAATACCCATCCAAGTCCAAAGGTGGAAGAACACGTACACTGGTATGGTGATGGGCAAGAGCAGACTGTAAAAGCAAAGGCTGGCTGTGCTAGTGCAGTCCTGCGGGAAGTTTTCCTCCACAGAGGCGGAGTAGAAGAGTCCTACTAAGGAGATCAGTGGAATAAGAACAGTCAGTGTAGGCAGAGACAGAAACATTCTTCTCTCCCACTTATTACCCACCACCATGTTTTAAATTGTATATAGTATTAAGAAAACCTAGTTATGGTTCTTTAAAGAATGGTTTAGTGCTGCTCTGTTTCTTCTTGCTTCTTATTTTGATGTGTTGTTCTAGCTGCTTGTGGTATCATATTAGGAATCCCATCAATGATTGGATAAGCTATTCCCAATTCTTCATTAATCAATTCATTTGTTGATGCTTCATATCTGGGGGGGAGAAAAAAGTGAATTGTGGAAAACAAAATAGTTAATTTACTATTGGAATAAAAACTAAAATCTCAATTTCTTCCTTTCATAGGTAATTAAAATCTACTAGGAAACAAGCGAAAAATCAAAATATGCAAATGAGGAAGCTTAGGAACTCAATGAGAGTGCAATGAGCTAGTTTTACCATTGTTATATGGTACATGTAATTTCAACATTTAAGAAAATTAGGGATGGGGATGTAGCTGTGGAGTTTAAAAGTCCAGGCGGTCCCTTGTGAGGATTTTTTTTTTTTAATTAGTATACTCACTACAGGTGAAGAAAACTAGAAAAAAAAGTAACAATATACTGTAAAAATTGCTAGCCATCTATCACCCGAAGATTACCACTGATAACATTTTGGTATTTATGCAATCTGTGTCACTGGTGTCAATATTCAGTTGAGCTTGGAACTGTAAAGTTGCAGAAAGGGTTACATGGGCTTTAAGAAAACCCTGCCAGCCCGCGACTAAAAACCAACGGGCAGCACGAAAATGCTCAAGATTGTCAGGCATCTGTGGTACGCACTTTCTCAAGAATCTGGACGCTAGTAAATATTTTTCATCATCTTGGCTTAAAACCTTGAGCGCTTTGGACTTGTCCTTAATCTCTATGGTTCCTAAAATTGGTTGTACACAGCCCTTAAGAGACGTTTTAAACAAGGAAGTCCAGGCCTGGCCGGGCGGATCAGGACACCCAGGCGCGCGGGGTCTGCCTGGGAACCGCCCCTCCCCCCCTTTAAACGCCCCGGCGCCTGCGAAGTGCAGCCAAGGGCAACCCCACAAGCCGCTTTGGACTTGTCCTTAATCTCTATGGTTCCTAAAATTGGTTGTACACAGCCCTTAAGAGACGTTTTAAACAAGGAAGTCCAGGCCTGGCCGGGCGGATCAGGACACCCAGGCGCGCGGGGTCTGCCTGGGAACCGCCCCTCCCCCCCTTTAAACGCCCCGGCGCCTGCGAAGTGCAGCCAAGGGCAACCCCACAAGCGCCCC